TTGTTGTTTGGCGGGTCCAGGCTGGGGATTCGAACCCGCCACCTTAGGTGTACGTGGCTGGCGCCTTAGCCGGTTGAGCTATAGGCGCCAAGCCTGCCTCAAACTTTCTTATGGGGCATTTGTGTCTTAGTTCTACTTGCAGTGTTTTTCCCAAAGTGGTTATGCTGGTTTACTGCCTGCCAGCAGTTGGTGGAAGTTCTGCCTGCTGCACATCCTTGCCTCTGTTGGGTAGTATCTGTCCGTTTCCTATTTGTTGACTTTGCTACTTCTGACTGGTCTGTCCATCTCCTCCTTCACTGTTGACTACGTGGATTTTAAATCTGTGGTTGGTAAGATACTTGGTCGTCTATTACCTATTTGCTGTTGGGATGTTTGTCATTCTAATTGATTCATAGCAGTTCTTTATATATTTTTGATACAAGGGCATTTTCAGTTGTATATCATGAATACCTTCCCTGATCTGTGGCTGACTTGACACACTACAGTGATGTCCTTTGAGGAACAAAAATTCTGTATTGTTTTCTTTATGATAGGTTAGTGGATTTTGTCCTGTTTTAAAGAAGTCTTATTAATATTCTGAAGATATCCTCTTACATTATCTTCTAAAAGCTTTATTGCTTTTCTTTTCTTTCTTTTTTTTTTGGTGAGAGAGAGTCTTACTATGTTGCCCTTGGTAGTGTGCTGTGGCGTCACATAGCTCACAGCCACCTCAAACTCGTGGGTTTAAGCAATTCTCTTGCCTCAGCCTCCCAAGTAGCTGGGATTACAGGTGCCTGCCACAACACCTGGCTATACTTTGGTTGTAGTTGTCATTGTTTGATAGGCCCCGGTTGGATTCGAACCCACCAGCTCCAGTATAGGTGGCTGGCGTCCTAGCTGCTGAGCTACAGGTGCCAAGCTTGCTTTGCTTTTCATGTTGAGATCTATATTCTACCTGAATTTGGTTTGCCATGTGGATGTCTGGTCACCCCAGCATCAGTTATTTGGAAGGATCATCCTGTCTCCACTGTGTCGGCATCTTGGTCTTGTATCAGGTGACAGTGTTTGTGGGTCCACTTCTTGATGCTTCATTGGCTGGTCTCTTCTTGAAGCAAACCTGTGCTGTCTTAATCATCATGGCTTTCTAGCTTGGTGCCTCGTGATGTAAGTTTAGTTGGTTCCTTGCGGTTCCTCAGGGTCTCCTTATTTTATCCTTTCCAGTCCTTCTGCTGTTTCTTTTTCTTGCCTTTTGTCCTGCCTATTAGAAGTGGTGATAATGGGCATCAGGGTAAACTTTAAAAATTAAGGATGATACTTACTTTATTTGTATTTATACTTCAAAAACATTTCAGAATATTATGAGGATACATTTGTTTTGGTTAGATGATTTGCTTTTGTGCAGTTTGGGTCAAAGTTGTAAGTGTGTCCATCTCCCAGATGTATTTACACTTTTTATCAGATTAAGAAAATTTCCATATATTCCTAGTTTGCTAAGAGGTTTTATGAATGGGTATTGAATTTTAGAAAATGCTTTTTAAAAATTGAGTAATTTTAGGTACTGAGGAGTCAATTCTTCTCTAATGTTAAAAGCTATTTTTATTTTTAAGAAGGCAGTGTTGCACGAATGTGTTTGTTTGTATAGTCAGAGTTACATTTCATTTTGTAAATAGGTGAGTTTTCGTAATTCATTACCTGTAAATTACATCTTGTTATGGTGGTTGTTGGCACATTAGTCTTAGTCTTTTGGAAGTTTTAAATATCAGTGATATTTAACTGAACAGTAAGTCCCAATCTTTTTAGTCTTGTGATAGGCAGTTTCCCTCTCTTGAACTAAAGCTGTTTATTTTGAAAAATCATAACGCTATAGAAAAGCTGAAAGAGTGGTGTGATAAACACTTTGTATATAGTCATCGGTTAATATTTTGTCTCATTTGCTTTTTCTTTCTATATATTCCTTTTTTCCGCCCAGTCATTTGAGAGTAAATAGCAGACATCATCACATCCTGAATTCTTAAGCACATACCATTTAGAGCAAGGTCATTTGCCTACATAACATAGTATCTTTTTTTATAACGAAGAAATGAACAGAGTCAGCTAACATGTTCAGATTTCTCCAGTTTTTCTAAAAAGGTTCTTAATGATTCTCTCTTTCAATCCAGGGTCCAGTTAGAGGTCACCATGGCATTTGGCTTTGCTTTCTTTTGTCTAGAATAATCCTCCTGCAACCTTTTGTCTTTATGTTATTGGCCTGTTTGAGAGTTCAGGTCAGTTTTCTGTCTAACGTCTGTCTAATGAATATAATCATGAAGAAACAAAGCGAAACATTTTTTCAAGAGAATACTGAATGGATGACCAGGTGTGGTGCCATGCACCTAAACTCCCTGGTACGCAGGCGATTTTGGGAAGAGCTCTTGAGCTGAGCCTGGATAGCATGGCTGTGAGACCCTCTGCTGGTTCCTAGGCGAGTCCTGCTTAAGGAAATTGCCTTTTTTACATGGAAAGATATGCTGATGTTCTCCCCTTGGTTTACACATGGGGGCCTAAGATGCTGTGACCAGGAGCAGGCTTCAGGCCAGATCTGCCCTGATCTGACAGACTTCTGTTCTCAAAGTGAACAGTAAATCTTTTCAAAGGTTTTAAAAAAATAAAAAGAAAAAGAGCAGTAGTAGATGAGGACCATGTTCCTCTTTCCTTGGCACAAAGTTAGGAGACAGAGATCTCTCTTTCTCCCACTATTAGTGTTCTCATCAGTTGTCGGTCTCCATCACAAAGGTCCTTTTCCTCTGTGTAAGGAATAACTAATACTTGAAGACAGTGTGAATATCCTGTCCCTAGAAGCCTTTTGTGTGATTCTTGCCTAAATCATTTATTACATTGGTGTTGCAAACTAGTGACCTTCTAACTATATTTATTACCTTGTGTTTTTCTGTAAGGAGGAGCCCTAGCTGTCCCTTTACCCTCTTTTAGTTAACTATACCCTCATTTTAAAAAAAATTTTAAATTTTTTATTTATTTTTTTTTTTTTTGGAGACAGTCTTACTTTGTGGCCCTTGGTAGAGTGCTATGGCATCATAGCTCACAGCAACCTCTAACTCTTGGGTCCAGCAATTCTCTTGCCTCAGCCACCCAAGTGGCTGGGACTATAGGCGCCTACCACAACGCCCCGTTATTTTTAGAGACAGAGTCTCACTCTGGCTCAGGCTGGTCTGGAACCTGTGAGCTGAGGTGATCCACCTGCCTTCCCTCCGAGAGTGCTAGGATTTATAGGCATGAGCTACTGCGCTCAGCCTTAACTATAACCTCATTTTTTTTTTTTTTTTTGTGACAGAGCCTTAAGCTATCACCCTGGGTAGAGTGCTATGGCATCACAGCTCACAGTACACAGCAACCTTCAACTCCTGAACTTAAGTGATTCTCTTGCCTCGGCCTCCCAAGTAGCTGGGACTGTAGGCACCCACCACAACACCCCACTATTTTTTGGATGCAGTTATTGTTGTTTGGCAGGCCTGGGTTGGATTTGAACCTGCCAGCTCTGGTGTATGTGGCTGGTGCCTTAGCTGCTTGAGCTACAGATGCCGGGTCTGTAACCTCATTTTTTAATAGTTGAGAGTGATGGCATTCCTGTCATCATTCCTTTTCACACTCAAATCCTAGTTTTGGTAGTGGGAGACCCTCTGTCTGACTGAGCTTTCTTTTGCATGTTCTGCCATTCTCTGCTCATTCTTACCCTGCTTTCAGGGACATGCCGTCTCAGGCTTACCATGTAGTGTCCTTGCCTTAGTCCTGAAGTTGACTGAATTTTTCAAAGAGCCCTGGTTCATTTTGATGAGAAATGCTTAGCAACCAAGACGTGCTCCTGAGTTACCACTGTATCAAGGCTCTGTGTTTCCTCTGGGTGGATGCTCAGCAGTGGGCTGCTGGGGGCTCCTCCTCCTGGGAGGAGTCTGGGGACTGTGTTCCATAGTGGCTGTACTGGTGACCTGCACATTCTCACCAACACGGGATAAGTGCGCCCTTTCACTGCACTCATTTTCTCCTTTCCTTTCTTTTCCTTTCCTTAGACAGAGTCTCAAGCTGTCGCCCTGGGTAGAGTGCTGTGGCATCATGGCTCACAGCAACCTCAAACTTTTGGGCTCAAGCGATCCTCTTGCCTTAGGTTTTCCACTTTTAGTAGAGACAGGGTCTCTCTTTTTGTTAGGTTGGTCTTGAATGTGTGAACTCAAGTAATCCACCTACCTCAGCCCCCCAGAGAGCTAGGATTATAGGCGTGAGCCACCATGCCTGGCCTCACTGCATTAATTTTTTTTAAAAAAGACACCTGTGCTCAATTTTTTAAAAAAATTTTATATTAATGTGAAGGTACAGGTGATATATTACATTGTTTGTGTTTGTTAGGTAGAGTCCAACTTATGGGTTGTGCCCATCTCCTGGGAGCTGTGGCATATGTCCTTGCATTGTGCCTGTGAGGTGAGGGCACACTAATGCTTCTCCCTCCTCCTCTTCCTCCCCCTCCCTCCTCCTCCTCCCCTTCTTCCTCCCCCTCCCCATTCTCCTCCCCTTTCTCACCTTCCTCCCCTTCCTCCTCTCCTTCACTGTCAGGCAGACGTCAGCATTATTTCCAAAACTTCATCTAGTGAACTCTTCTCAGATACATGATTTGCAAATACTCTCTCCCATTCTGTAGTTTATCTTTTACTTCCTTGATAATGTCCTTTGATGCATAAAAGTTTTAAATTTTGATGAAGTGTGATTTTTTTTTTCTTGTGTTGCTTGTGTTTTTGGTATCATAGCTAGGAGTTCGGTGC